GTAGCATTAGGGCGTAATAACATTCCTATAATAGGAATGTTTGGGAATTTTAAGCTTTGTTGTGTTGATGAATATTGCAGTGATTAGAGGGAAGATTGCCTTTAAATTTAAATTCTACTTTATGCTGCCTGTTTTCCAGCCATCAGTGCCAGATTATTCGAGCAGTGAGAGTTTTCTAGCAATCTGTGGGTTTCTGATTTCCTGATCCTGACTAGTTTCTGTGGCCGGACTTCTGAGTTTTGGTTTCCCCTGTTCTGCTTTGTTGCCTGATCTTTTTTGGACTGTTACCTGGATTCTGCCTGCAAACTATTTTTTTACCTGTCTTCTGACCCCGGCTTAGATATCCCTTTGGAACCTCTTTGGACTTCTGACATTCTGGCGTAGAAACCTGCTCCTTCTATGACTATGGTTCTGGATTCTCCCCACGGATACTTCTGCTCGCATCGTGGACAAACTCTTCTCATTTTAATGCCACAGAGGCTTAAACTGGACTTTGAGACAATAGTTCTGATATACAGGAGTGAATTACAATGTTATTGGACAATATCCTTCATGAAACGTTTCCCCTTATGATGCTCCAGCTCCACCATTCATACCTCCTTCCTTCTGTTTTCTTTTAATTTTTAATCCTCTTTGTTGCCGTTCTTCCCTTAATGTCACTTTATAGTTCTCCCTCCACCATTTTCTGCCTTACCCATTTCAAGGTTTTCCCTTTTTCTGTGGTTCTCTTACTTTCTTCCCAATGCTTCTCATCTCCAGTTTTCATTAACACCATGTCTGTTTTTTACTCTGTGGTTCTTCTATCTCTTCTCCACTTTCTTCTTCATCATCATCGTCCCCCATTTTCTCCCTCCTGTCTGTGTCCACTTCCCATCACACTTTCCTCCCTTGTTCCCCAGATGATGAACAGCCGGTTGCTCCGTTCATCTATCTACCAGGCAGCATCATCTATCTATCGCTGCATGACCCCCCCACCACACACACACACACACACACACACCCACACCACTTCCGTTCGTCCACAGGGACTAAGGCGACGTGTGATTTTGATGGGTTAGCTGTTTATCCCCACCCCCACTCCGCACACACATATACACTCCCTAAGGATATGTCAGTACTGCGTCTGATTAAAGAGCCTCTATAGGAAATCAATACTTCCTTCACTACAGCCCTGCTTCTACCTCCCACCTTCAGCTCCGCTTTCCCCCAGCATCCATCCAGTAGACCCCGGCTTTACTGATAAACTACACATGGAAGTACAGCAAATTCAGTGATGACGAGGAATATCCAAACAACAAATGCTTCAGGCAAACAAAAAGGCTGTTTCCTAAAAATAAATGTCAGATTTTTCTTGAGCCATCCTCTTTATTAGAGGATCAATGTGGATTTCTGCAGGAACAAAGAGGCATTTAAAGCCTCAGAATGGCTTTCCACCATTAGGAAGGACTGGATGTGATTTGTAGTTTATCTTTTTTTTTATAGATAAACCTCATTAACCTGACTCCGCCAGATGGATTTGCTCCGCATATCCATCTGGAAACCTTCTGTTGAAGTAATTTTGGGAAGGGGCGAAAATACTGGTTAGCTGATTGGCCTATGTTGGTGATAGACGGGCCAAATAAACCAATCAGATCAACGAAGCATATGACGTACTAACAGAGCGACGACGAAGAGGAGCCAATTGATAGATCAAACTCTTGACGAAACCAGTCGGGAGAAGAGCAAAAACATCTTTTCCTCTGAGAAAAGCCTCCAGAGCAGTGTTTTGCTCTTCTTTCAGTGAAGAAATACTCTGTAATTCCCATAAAACTTGCTCGATAGCCATGCTAACGCTAGTTTCATCGACTGAAGCCGCCATGTTCTTTAGACTGAACTGTCGCGCTTCTCGTTGCGTCACACCTCAACCCGCCTCAAAGCCAACGCTGATTGGACGTTCGTTTGGTGAACGGCTCCAAATTTTCTTTAACGGAGAGTCTCCAGACTGATCTGCGAGTGAAACCTTGAAAGCTCGCGAGATCAGGATGGTCTCACGAGGCTAAAACCTCATAGCTAGAATTATGGAAGGTTTACCTGCAGCATTTGTTCAAAGAAAAGTGTTAACAGTTAACTTGTTTATGGTTAAAATGCCTCATCTGTAAAAAATGACATTTCATTGTTTCCTGTCCAGTTTGATTGGCCAAATAAGTTCCTCTAATATAAAGTGTTCAGCTTCAAAGTGTGGGGATCAGAATCTAAATTAAATATTATTTCTATCAGATTTGGTTAATGTGGAAATGTCCTGTACTTATATAGCACTTTACATTACATTCAGTCATTCATGCACACACTGATGGTGGCAAGCTACATTGTAGCCACAGCTGCCCTGGGGCTCATTGACAGATGTGAGGCTGCCATAAACTGGCACCTCTGACCACCATTAGTAGACAATGCAGGTGGAGTGTCTTGCCCAAGGACCCATCGACACTGAAAGCTGGACCCGGGGCTTGAACCTTCAACCCTTCGATTTCAGGGCAAACTCCTACACCCGAAGACACTGTCGCCCCAAAGGACTACAGACCTCCTCAGTGACTACAGACCTCCCACATCATGAAGTTCCTAGAGAGACTTCTGTTGGTTCACCTCAGCAAACAAACAGGAGCTATCAGGACCCCCTGCAGTTTGCTTATCGCCCTGGAGATGGAGTTTATGATGACATCATACACCTGCTTCAACAAAGCCACCGTCAGATGGCAGATAACACTGTTAGGATCATGTCATTTGACTTTTCCGGAATATTTAACACTATTCAGCCTGACTGACTTCGTGAGAAACTCCAGAAGACTCATTTGGAGGCATCAACAATCACCTGAATGAAATACTACCTGATAAACAGACCACAGTTTGTTAGACTGAAGCATCTCACAGCTCAGTTATTCTCACTGAAAGATATAATTTCTATTCTTGGAGGTTAGCTTAAAGCTATAGTACTGCCACCTGTAGGTAATATGAGGTAGATCAATTCCACCATTTCCAAGTTAAAGGTATAAAGGACCATCTTTTATTTCCGGGTGGATCACCAAAATAAGTGGTCCTCCTAATTGCACATCCCCATTTTCACAAGTCTGACCTAGTGGAAAAATGGCAAATCTTTTGAAAAGTAAGCTTGTATGAACAATGCAAACAGCAACTTTTAAACAGAGCGTGCACGAGGAGAAATGGGCTTGTGCACGCTCTCACACACGTTTAATAGCCGTTCCCTCTCTGGAGGGGGTACAGGGTTGTGCATGTGCACAAGTGGAGAGTGGGGGTCTTTTAAAAAATTTGCAAAAATCCTCTTTATCTTTAAGTGTGAAAAGAGCTGACCCAGGATTTTTTGAATTGGATCCCAGTAACTTACTGAGAATTATATGTGAAAGGGACTTATGATTGGATGAAACTATGGAGGGAAGTTTGTTTCATCAGTGTTGCAAACAAAGAATTTAAAAATCTAAACTTTGAAAATTGTCTTCGTTGCAAGGTTTTTGAGAGAGATTTGAAGTCTCTTATTCTTTTTTTTTTATTTTGTCAAACTTTATTTTTTCAGTTTTCTTTTTAAATCATGTTTCATAGATCAAATTTACTTCAAGCCAAACACAAACGCTCAATTTTGACCATTAATGCTTTTGATGCTAACATTCATGCAACCAATAGAAATGCGTTTTCTCAGAGAAATGTCCACCCTCAGAAGTGAAAATTAAAATTTTACTAAAAAAGAAATAAAATCTGAGTAAACTACCACATTTCCGCTTGGTGTTGTTGTTTTTTTCTCTTATCAATTTTTTTTAGCTTGATTTCAGGATTGCATTTTCTTTTCTGATTACATTTACCAAACGTGATATTTGCTTATCACGTTTGGTATCACGTTTGATCACAGAGATAAATAATCAAACAAAACCTAGAAGAGTTATATCATTATTTGAACCAAGATGTTATACTAAATAATCTGTAAAAATGCAAACATAAACCTGGCATAGTATATGACTGCAAACTACAGAATAAAAAGATGGTAAAGTAAAACAAACAAGAAAAATAACAAATGTAGAAACTGAGACAAATGGGACGGAATATTAGGGACAGGTTAGAGATTCATTTTAATTTTGAGAATAAAGTCATAACATTATGAGAAAAGAAGTTGTAACATTACAAGAATTAAGTTGTAAAATTACGAATATAATGTTGTAACATCACAAGAATAAAGTCATCATTTAACAACCCGTTTCAGAAAGAAAGCTTGGAGCTCCGCCCACCTGCTGATGTTTGACCAGCTCCACCAATCAGCAACCAGAGTCCACTTTGACATCATGCCCAGTTTGATGCTGCTGCTAAAAGATTTCCTGATTTATCAAACCGATGCTAAAGTATAACTTCACTTCTCTAGCCTGGCCCTAATACTCCGTCGTAAATGGTGTTCTCACTCACTTTGTCACAACTTTCTGTATTTTAAGTTATTCCTTGGGATTACATATGCTGTAAATGGCCGCTGTGCACATAAACTACATTATATTGGCACATTGAGGTTAACTTTAAAGCTGTTCACTTTGTTTTTATTATGACTACAGATCCAAATGTGAAAAAAAAAGATTTATAAACCATAAAACGTTTTGGAACCAAAGAACTCCCAGATTTAACCTATAATAGCAAAACACAGCAACCC